AAGCTGGTAAGGGAGGTGCGACCAGACAGGTCTCTGAATCCATGGGAGCGTTTCTACAGCCACCGCTGCATTCCCAGTGGGACAGTGACACTTTATCCCCAAATCCCTTTCATAGCAGCAGTGCCCTTGCGTGACCATCACCACTAGCCAGGAACTTGGCAGAGAGCAGAGCAGCGGGACGTGCCGAGTGAGCCCTACCTGCAGAGTCCTGTGGCGCCGCGTCTAAGCCATTCCAGATTCTCTGAGGGGCTTGCTGGCACCCAGAGCCACTCTCGCTAGGCAGGGCTCCCAGGCAGGGCTTCCCTTTCCTGGCCTGCAGCATTCATCCCGTCAGAGGGGTCTGTCAGCTACCGGGTTAACTCCAGCATGCATAAAGTTAACACATTTTATATGAAATGGAAGTGCTGTCCTGTCTTGGCACATCCACCAGCTTCAAAACCGAAAGCAGAAAAGGGGCTGGGACTTTCCTGGGACTGGCTCCGCCTCACAGGACGGTTGTGGCACAAAGATCAAATTCCTCTGACACACCCTAGGGCTAGCAAGAGGGCGGCTTTGGGGCCAGCAGACTCAGTTCTGCAGTTTGCCTGATGACAGCTAGTTCTGCAGGCTTTTTGAGCAGTGTTCTATGAATTTCTGTAATTGCTTCAGCCCCTAGACTCAGTGACCATGTTAATTTACTCCAGTCCCCTGATGTAAAATTTACCAGGGATTATTTGGAGGAAAGAACATTAGATCTGTCAGGGACCTCAAGGGGTCATCAAGTCCAGTCCCCTGCCCTCATGGCAGGACCAAGCACCATTCTAGGCCATCCCTGACAGGTGTCTGTCCAACCTGCTCTTCAATATCTCCAGGGATGGAGACTCCATAACCTTCCTACGTAACTTGTTCCAGTGTTTCACCACCCAGACAGGCAGGAAGTTTTTCCTAATGTCCAACCTAAACCTCTCTTGCTGCACTTTAAGCCCCTTGCTCCTTGTCCTGTCCTCAGAGGCCAAGGAGAACAATTTGTCTCCCTCCTCCTTAGGACACACTTTTAGGGTTTTGGTCTGTGCTCCCTAGGGCTACGTCTACACTACGAGTTTTTTCCTGCAGAAAATATGCTAATGAGGGACTCATTAGCATAAGTTGCAATCTCATTAGCATGTTTTCTGCTATTTCTTTTTGTGGAAGGGGTTTTTGTGCAAAAAAAAGCAGTGTGGACATGGGTTTTTTTCCTGTCTTGGACAGGCATAAGGATCTTGCACAAAATGGTTTTTTTTGCACACAGAAATCCCATCCACACTGCTTCTTTTTGCACAAAAACCCTTTGCGCAAAAAGAAATGGCAGAAAACATGCTAATGAGATTGCATTTTATGCTACTGAGTCCCACATTAGCATATTTTCTGCCTAAAAAATCGTAGTGTAGACAAAGCCTAGTGGCCCAACTCTACTCCCTGGGCCTACATGCCTGCTATGTTATGCAGACAGTCTGGCTCAGAGCCTCTTTACTGGGGGGCTACATCTACACTGGGCACAATTTCTGGTTAAGGGATGCAAATCAGGTAAGTCAGGATAGGGAAATCCGCGGGGGATTTAAATATCCCCCGCGGATTTAAATAAACATGTCTGCCGCTTTTTTCCTGGCTGGGGGAAAAGCCGGGAAAAAAGCGTCTAGACTGGCGCGATCCTCCGGAATAAAGCCCTTTTCCAGGGGATCTCTTCAAAGTAGGAATAAGAGATCCCCCGGAAAAGGGCTTTATTCCGGAGGATCGCGCCAGTCTAGACACTTTTTTTCTGGCTTTTCCCCAAGCTGGAAAGAAAGCGGCAGACATGTTTATTTAAATCCACGGGGGATATTTAAATCCCCTGCGGATTTCCCTATCCTGACTTACCTGATTTGCATCCCTTTTCTGGAAATTGTGCCCAGTGTAGATGTAGCCGGGGGTTGTGGCTGCTCTGCTGTTCTCCTAGAAAGGGGCCCCAGCAGGGCAGGGAGAGAAAATATAAGATAGCACCTGGATACTGGCAAAATGCTACATTCCCTCCCTGTGCACTGCTGCCATAAAGGAACTGCAAATCCACCTGAATTGTGAGCAGGGCTGTGAAAAGTGAGGAAAGTTAAAGGATCACAAACACGTATAACAATCAGTGCTGACAGGACAAGCTACAAATGGAGTCGGTGCTACTCTATGAGGGCCCAATGCGGAAACAGTGGGGATGGCCCATCCCTGAGAATTCTGGCTGCATTATTTCCACAGATGTTGGGTCCCTTAGCTGCTTGGGGCCCTGCGCAACTGTTCATCTGCTTTTGCCTCGCTCTGGTGGGAGACAGGCTGATTGAATGACTCCCAGCAGACAGGCTCCTGATTTAACTCTCGGACTGTGTTCAGATCATGCCTGGTATACATGAAGGCTAGGTCTACACAACACATAGTTGTGCAATAAGATATGCAAATGAGGTATGGGAATGAATATCACTGTGCCTCATTTGCATACCTAATGAGCTGCCATTTTTGCCGCATGAGCTTTAGCGCAAGAAGGAGCTGTCTACACTGCTCCTTCTAGTGCAAAATAACCCCTCTTGTGCAAAGCTGTTCTTCCTGAAAATAAGCAGCGGAACGGCTCTGCACAAGAGGGGTTTTTTGCACAAGAAGGAGCAGTGTAGACAGCTCCTTCTTGCACAAAAGCCTGTGCTGCAAAAATGGCAGCTCATTAGGTATGCATGAGGTGTGGCAATATTCATCCCCGTGCCTCATTTGCATATCCTTTTGCACAACAATGCGCAATGTAGACGTAGCCAAGGAGCATGGGATGGGAAATCAATGGAGCACAGTTAGGGCACATCTACACAGGAGCGTTATTTCAGAGTAATGTCAGTTATTCCAATATAACGTAGTGCACATCCACACAGAAAGCCTGTTATTTCAAAATAACTTCCGTACTTCTTTGTCCGAGGAGTAAGGGTAGTCAGGGGAAGAGTTCTCCGTTTTGAAATAACTGCTGTGTAGACAGTGCCAAAAGCTGAGTTAAGTGATTTCAACCTCAGCAATACAATTGACATAACTCAGATTGTGTAGCTTATTTCGAGTTTAGCTCTGCTGTGTAGACGTGCCCTGAGTGTGTCTGAAATTAGGTCTTGCTGGTGAAGAAAATGACGGGGGGAGAGACTATTTCCCACTGCTCCCTCTTGGGGACCTCTAAAAAGGAATTTGGGAGAAAAAATAGCAGCTTTTATTTCAACCTCAGCAATACAATTGACATAACTCAGATTGTGTAGCTTATTTCGAGTTTAGCTCTGCTGTGTAGACGTGCCCTGAGTGTGTCTGAAATTAGGTCTTGCTGGTGAAGAAAATGACGGGGGGAGAGACTATTTCCCACTGCTCCCTCTTGGGGACCTCTAAAAAGGAATTTGGGAGAAAAAATAGCAGCTTTT